ACTCAAAGCAACTGTCAACCAATACCAAGATCAGGATTTTCAATACAAATGTCAATACAGTTCTACGAAAGCCGTGATCCCGAAGATACAGGTGTTCATTAACCGTTGTCTACGCAAAGCACTTCGGATCCGTTGGTCGGACACTATTAGCAACAACCAACTGTGGGAAAGAACAAACCAGATCCCAGCGGAGGAAGAAATTAGGAAGAGGCGCTGGAAGTGGATAGGACACACATTGAGGAAAGCACCCAACTGCGTCACAAGACAAGCCCTCACTTGTAATCTCCAAGGCCAAAGGAAAAGAGGAAGATCAAAGAACACATTACGCTGAGAAATGGAAATAGACATGACAAAAATGAACAAGAATTGAATGGAACTAGAAAAGAAGGCCCAGGACAAAGTGGGTAGGAGATCGCTGGTCGGCGGCCTATGCTCCATTGGCAGTAACAGGCGTAAAGAAGTAAGTAAGTGCATAGATTCCACCAGATCACACCACAGAGAACTAAATCGGCAACATCCGCACCAACAAAATTGTCGGAAGGTCCGTGGGCGGCATGAAAACTATTTGAGGAACCGACATAGTTTCATATCATCACTTGCTTGTGGCCAATATGAAATTGAAGCTGAAAAAAGCACACGAAAAATGGGAAAACAGCATCAAAACAGTTAAGTACAGCCTTTTCCTGAGATACTGACAAATTCAGTAAAATCACTTTAGACCTCAGCTTATATATGTTGTTCTTATTAAGATTCATCATTAATGACCCAATAAGCTTCTTTGCTTTAGATGCTTGAGATGCAGTGTGCTCGGAAAAGTTGAAACTGTTGCTTTACATCAAACTCGAATAATGAACAGTGTTGAGAGGTTTCATTATATGTTTGTGTATAGCCAGATTTAGGTTAAAGCTCGGCCAATGTAAATAAACCCACTTTTGTCAACATTAATTGGCAGATTTCAAGGAACAGGCCATTCTTAAAAGTTATTTATGTCATCTTGGATTACCGATGAAGTGTAGGTTTCTTTGGTAGAACACGAGAAATAATAAAAGATTTCTAGGCCATCATCAAAAACGAAGGGTTTACCGTATCGAAAAGATGTAAACATCATTATTCGAAAGAAGTGAGTGTAATAGATCAATCACACTTCTTTGTATAACCCCACTTGTTGCATTCATAGGCTTGGAGTAGCAAGATCTAAAGCGAACCGTTCGGCTAAGTTCTGATAAAAAGATTTGAACAAAGATGAAGTGAGATCCAGCATACATAATGAGGACAGTTTTATAAGACAGTTGTGTGAGATACTATTGAAGGCCCTACTAAAATCGAAGCATAGAATTATTGCTGATTAATCAATATCACTTCGCCGGGTAATTTGATGAAAAATTTCAAAGTAATGTGGAGCATATGCGCTCAACTGTAGATCACCAACGTAGATGATCTATGTCGAAATGATTGGAGGCCTACTCGAGTTAGACGGGAATGGTGTGACGAACTAGCAAACGTCGAAGTCACACATTGCGGTCAGTACCTTACGTCGATTGCCCGATTGACGTATCAAGGTAGTAAAGATGCTTTGAAGACTGTACAACACAAAGGACGTTATTACAGAAATATATTAGTTAACGTAAATACAAGCGAAGGTAAGACCGCCGCCGCATGTGCCAGTCCATGGCGTACAATTAACTGATGCGCGTTGGTTGTCCTTGACCTTGGTGAGGATCGATGATCGGTTTGATACTCAGTGACCTAACTGTCGGATGATTAGGCTAGGGCTCAGTGGAATTTCACTGGCCCTACACAGTCGAAAACCCATGTTGAGATAGGTAGATTATGCTTCCCGAAAGTAAGAATGATATTAGCTCTGTGTGAATCTTTTTTCATGATTCGTGATAGCACAGATGTCTTGTTAAAGGGCCTATAGTCACTAATATCTCTTCATGATTCCGTTTTCAAACTATGAGAGATAAGAGATGTTTTCCATACACACTGACAAGCTTCATATTCCAGTTGTAAAATGAATAATAGTAAATCTCTGCTACCGTACACCACGACTGATGGCGAAATGCCATCAGTTTTACCGTTATGGGACCTTTTTAAAGTAGTTGTGGCATTCTTTATGTTGGTAGATGTGAGATCAATTATGGATAGATGCTAAGGTGTCAACAATAGAATCCTATTGATAGAAGTTTCGGTTTTGTGGTCTAGCATAGAGAAAAGTGGTTGAACTGTTGATAAATAGTATCATAGTTGAATATAATGTTGCTGTTAACTATGTAAAACCTGGTTGTACTAAGAGTATTTGATTTCATGCAACATTTGAAAAGTCGGAGCATTGATAAGTCTGAGTTTTTACTATCTAAGGTCTTATTCTCCATGAGATACTTACGTTGGGTAAATCATGTCTGTCAATCACGGTAAGCATACTCTGAGGCGAATATACGTCATGTTGCATGTGGTAGCGGTGCTTCCGCTCAAAAATATTTTGGCCCCATTTTAGCATTATTAATCACGTGGAAGTGCAGTCAAGACAATGCAAGACATCGTGGTATAAATCGGAAAACTCTGTGTCAGTGTTATCTGTGGTGAAATTAGATTCCCATGGTAAGCATCGAATAAGATTTTCAGTGCATTTTCGGGTTTGTTGAACAAACTGCCTGCTCTGGCACATTGTCGCAGCCGTAAGGTCCGATGGTACGGCTTGGAGAAAGAATAATACTCAAAACGATCGTAAGGCTGGAACAACAACTTGTCAGGATATTGGTGAGAATTCTTTGCGACCAATTATAGTTAAGCAGTATCGACATATTCAGTGAGTAATCTGTCTACCTCAAGCGAAATTCGACTAAGTACATATAGCTACGTAGAATAATCTAATGCAACTTCAAAGAAAGAAAAAGGAAACGAAACTCAGCAAACCAGCACATTGATTCCTCCATTAGATATTTCAGAGACATTCAACTACGACGTTTTAGTAAACACTACCACTTTCCGGAAGTGATCCTTCTGATCTTAACTGTGTGGTTGTATAGATCTCTTGATGTATGATCACGTCATCCTATAGTGATTTTACTCCTAAAGACAATACCTCACATAACCATCAATCTGCTGTGCTATTCGATGAACCAACCTTAACATGTGATGTGGAAATGAGAGGCCGAACCTGACTTTATTAGGTATGGCACTCAACGTCGAAGTAGAATCACGAGATCGCGCCGGGTTAACTCCGAAGTATACCTCTTTCACCTGCAACTCTCAAGTCATACGAATTTGTTTGCTTTGACTAGCTGCATCCATATCATTTATCAATGGATAGCATGTTCTATCTAGCTTCTTTTGCCTTGCAATATATATCCACATTTTCTTTTTAAAAATACTAAATACATCTGGACTACGCTGTTAGCCAGAAAGAGGTTAGTACGGGTAACGTACGATCGTGTCATAGTAGTAGTAATGTTTCCAAAACTGGCCTTACTTATAGGATGTTTCACATTAAGTTCGATGAACTCTATCTAATATTACTAAGGACCTGAGCCACACTTGTAGCTCTTCAGTAATCGCATTAGTCTTGGACAATTTTTGTACTTTGACCTGCAAGTTAAAATGTGGACTACAATTTCTACCAAAAATTTACTTTTTCATACACAAAGCGACTAGCATATTTCTGAACATAAGTAGACTATCTGGAAATACAATAATTTCCCTTACATTATTAGTTTTTCCGTCTTTTGTTTCAACAAGTTGCCTATCATACCGAATCAATGGAAAGCAGCCATAGCGTTGAAATAGTTTCATCGGTGGTTATAGATCAATCCACTATCCGTTTCCTGTATTGTATCATGGTTAAGCTTTTTCTGAAGTGTCTTGCAGAAACTACACTAATCGCAGATATCCAGTACGTGGTAGTATTTTCCAAAGATCATCAACAGCCGCATCAAGACCACAACTTTTATCAAAAGTGCATTTTCGTATAATTAAAATACTTCTATGATAACTATCGACTCTTAAGCTAATGCGTACAGTAAACGTATTATGTAATTTGAATGCACTGAACTATCTAAACAAATCTACTCTTACAGTGTTTATTGAGACAAAGCGGAATATATCCATATTATACTTGATATAAGTTGAGTGGAGTCACATCTCTGTAAACAGCTATATTTAAAATGGAAAACAAGAGTAACGGCTGTAACTCCGATTTTTGAGAAAACGATGAGTTAGCAAAAATAGAATCAAACATTCGAAAAGTTTAAATACTGAAAATAGTTATCGACCTCGACAGGTTAACACAAATTATATAGTACATAACAAATATGATCATACAGAGAAATAGTAGGACCCTTGTTTACACACACATGTAACTATTCTACGGTCAGAGCATTTAATACATCTTGCTGACTTTCTTTGTACAGAAGGAAAGTAACAAACAAGCGAACAAGTTATAGGAAGCTTAAAAGGAAAAAAACGATGAAAGTAAATGGGAAAGAAAAACATGGTAGTACAATGCATCCATTTTAATAAAAGTTTCAAAATAAAAATCAAGCTAGAGAAGCAAACAATAAATAACAGAACTGAATGTTAGAAGTGAAATATAACAGAAAAAAAACGCGAGATGAATAGAGAACCAAAAGGGGGATAATATCGTTTGCATTATGATTATTATGGAATGAATATGTAATCAATCCAAGCACCATTTAAGAAATTATAGATAGAGGAGAGAGGATGTGTAAAACCACTAGAGAAATGTGCATTCAAAATCGTCCATGAAACTGGTTTTGAAAGAAACACAAATAAGTGCGGAGAACAAAGACAATGAGATGTAAAAAAGATATTAAAGGGAAAAAGATCTTAAAAATACATATTATCTCCACTTTGAGCAAAACAAATATTATTGTCGAGCTTTACATAAATTGTGATAAACCGGAAAAAACTGTAATTTCTAGAAATCATATGAAGTTATAAACTATGGACTGGGGAAATATTCAATTACAGGGATTGAAGAATTAGTTGTAGTAGCATGGACTACCTGAGGAGAATCGGTTATTGCGTTGTTGCAAGAAACTGGATTAACAACTATATCCGGTGAACATGCTAAATTCGTATTTTTGGAGATTGCTCGTGGTTCAGTGGGAGAACTATTTTGATTGAGTGATTGATGTAGGCGTTGAATTAAAGGATGTCTATAAATCCAGTTTTCTCCCTCTTCACGAAAGTATTTTGGTGTCCATGTATGTTTTGAGTCTCTTCTCTGCCGAGCTAAATCTCGTTGTCGCTGTTCCAAACGATGTTTAGCATCTGATGCTGCATCGATATTACCCACTTTTAAATTATATGTCACTTCCTCCCACAATCTACACAAATGTTGAAAAGAATTTAGGAAATGTACATTGAATAAAGTAATTTCTCCCAACCTACTGTACTGAATACTTTATTACAAAATAGCAAAGTAATATAAAAAAGCTTCTTGACTAGCTTATAAAATTTCATCCGGGTAGCCGTGTACTTATGTATAGGTAACGGAATCAATCATAACAGAAGATAACTAAACATATAAAAGACATTTGTGTAGCTGAACTTATCGATTTCATAATTTTGATAGACTAACTATCCGTTCACTGATTAACGTCGTCATTTTCAGAAAATCACTAATCCACTCATATTGTTAGTTTATACATGACAACATGTAACTAGATGACCGAAATCCTATCAAATATTATTTATTGTCTTCATTTTTCAACAAACTGTATGCTGAATGAAAAATATGTTTACACGTTTCAAAGAAACCTTACTTTATGTTATGCTGAAGTTATGATATAAAAGATTAAACGCTTTTATACTGAAATCATTAGTAACAAATTCTGTCGTGAACGGCAGGAACGCTTCCACGATCTCAACAGTCAAGGTTTAAAAGAAAAAGCAACAAATCATACAACCTACTAGAAGAAACTAAAGATAGCACAAAGCCCTTCGATTATCTCTTTGAGTTGATTGAGTATCGAAAAAATCTTGAAAATAACATAAAACTAAATAATGATGAATGATAAGAATCAGACAATAACTACATCCGTCAGAATACGTAGGTTACAAGTTGCCACACTATGAAACACTAGTGAATGTAATAACAAAATAAGCAAGCAGAAAGAGTTAAGAAGATGAATAATAAGTGTAAGGTAAGACTTTATGTTGAACTTTTGTTTGAGAAGTGTTAATGTGTAAGCTATTCATAAGTTAGTCAGATAATAACTAACTGTAATTGTTATATCCCGATAAGAATAATGAATGGTAATTCTTGGGATCCATTTATGGACCATTACTATGAGTGCATTTTTATCGAGTAATTGTTATGTAACTAGACTGTCCATATTCATGTCCCTCTTATTGTGAGTTTTATTTTGACCTATGAACTATTATTATACGATTTACCATTCTTGAATTATTCCCTGTATGTTAATCACTACCTCCCACATTAACAACCACTTTTGGCCAAATATTGTACAAATGTTATTTTCTATTTTATGGTACGTTGTGGTTTGTTTGATTGGTATATGAACTCAGTATGTTTGAAATAAATGATTCATATTGCAGAGGCTGAGATTGACGTTCTGAACTCAACTGGCTGGGCTAGGCGGAAAGCAGGACCAATCAGGACCCTAGGCTGCTCGCACGTGTCTTATGAGTCAGTTGTCCGGTCAGTAGTGCGCTGCTCTCTGATTGTCGGAATCGTTGTGTTGTACAATAAACAGGGCACACAGGTTCACAAGTTATAACAGTAATCAACTGAGAAATTTTCAGAATGACGAAGAACAGTTAGGTGAATTATGATAAATTAAATGAAGAATAGTTTCCATAACATATGTTTCCCAACTTTATAAAATAGGAAAGTTTAAAATTATTCAGACGACAATGAACGTGGTTGAGCACTACATTAGTAACTATTTTATTAATATGTTTCCCAGAAACAGTATTTAATCTCCATATTCTAACTTACTTTACGAACGGCAAAAAGTAAATGCATGTTATGCGAAATTCCCTACTAATACTATATATATATATCAATTACCACAATAGATAAACTAACAAACGAAATCACATTAACGTACCGTCTTGATTCATTTTCTTCTTGGCGAGAACGAGGAAGAACGTGTTTTCTTACAGTTGGTAGGTTACGGGTATCAATAAATAACTCATTTTTCTACAATATTAAAAAAATTCCAAAAAGACATCTGAATTTTATGTATATGATCATAAATGACCTATAACAAAAAGTACAGATAGGTCGATTACAAAATAATAACTACAGGTAAAAACCTCATCGAACCACATGACCAGAAAAATTGAGTAGTATAACACTGAAAACAATCGAATTAATGACTTAAAAAGGAAATGGGGCTTTTTATCGCCTAAGCGAACAAAATTATGGACACTTACCTGAAGATTTACATTTCTTTGCGTACGATTGCAGTAATTCTGTGCTTGATGACTGACACAGGCGTTTGATTGACTCAAAGATTAAGTAGTCTTTTGTTCACTCGCTTCCAAATACTAACTAACAAGTTAAATATACTTAAGCCAGACTGATTTTATCCTTCTAGAATGCCTATACAATCAATTAAGAACCTCCCAACTGTTGTCCCTATCTTGACGTGGTGGTCGTGCTTGCTTATCGTGATGAACCAGATAGGTTATACTGGCTGGAACAATCGTTCATCAAGGTCCTACCATGCCAGACAGGTCTGTTGAAGAACGGTAAGACTAAAAGCAGCAAACCCAAGGTCCGAAGGCGAAGTCGTACTGCTGACTGTGCAGAGGTGTGACGACAGTAAGATGTTTCCCTCAGATGACCAGCATAACAGCGACGCTGTCTTTCCACAAGGAGGGGTGGGGTAAGAAATGGTAGACCCTAAAAATGCACACCTCGCCTTATCCCACGGATATCCGTCTCCGGCGGTAAGGTCTCAACAAGTACGGAGCTAACACTAAAATCACCCATAAAAAGGTCGTGTGTGACTGACCTCAAGCAATTGTCCCTTGGGCATTGTTTTTACGCTCTCAGGTCACTGAGACCACTTCTAATCCAATTTCCTTTTCAGGTACCTCCAGAAGAACCCTTCCACGGTGTGGACAACCGGGAAGTGATAACCGCCCTCATACCTCTAACAGCACGCAAGACCACTACTGTATTCCTAATCAACCTCAGTCTTCACTTTCTATTACTCCTCCTACATCGACTTTCACCTCTAAACTTCCTCTTTCGGCTTCCTCCTCAAATGTCATCTTAGCCAACTATTCTAGTGCTCAAAACACTGTTCCAGGTCTATTGAAACCTCGCACAAAACTACACATTGGAGCCTTCAATGTACGCACCCTATGTCAAATCGGTCAACAGGCTTCCTTGGTTAGAATCCTAGAATCTCGTACCATTGATGTATGCTGTGTCTCCGAAACACGCATACAGGATCCCAGTGTGGTCAGTCACTTGACCTCACCTCAGAGAAACGGAGAGCCAACGAGATACACCCTCCGAGTACCTGGTGACCCGACGGCCAGCTCTCGTGGACTATCAGGAGTAGGGATAGCACTAAGCATGAGGGCAGAACAAGCACTGTTAGAGTGAATCCCCGTTAACAGTCGTTTATGTGGTGTTCGGCTAAACGGCTCCGTAAGAACTCGGAAGGATAGAGACACATGTCGTTGCCTTCTTGTTGTTTCCGCTTACGCTCCCACCGACTGCAGCTCAGGTGAAATGAAAGATGAATTTTACAGAAAGCTATCTGAACTTCTTCAGAAAGCTAAACGTTCAGACATAGTACTTGTAGGGGGTGACTTTAATGCCCAGATAGGTAGCTTAAACCAAACAGAAAAACATCTAGGTGGGTATTTTGGTATTCCGACACAGCAAACAGATAATGATGATCGTCTGCTGTAACTATGATCAGACATTCGTTTATTTTTAGCAAACACAAGTTTTAAGCATAAGGAGAGACATCAACTAACATGGCGACTCCCTACACCAAACCAACGATGGACTCAAATAGACTATATTGCCATTAGTCATCGTTGGATGGGTTGATAGAAGATTGTCGCTCATTCTGGAATACCTGCTTGGACTCTAACCATGCTCCAATATAGGAACGCATCTGAAATAGCCTTACTGTATGCAAAAAAGCCACACTAAAAAGTCCCAATAGAACTGAATTGAGTAATGAGAAAACAAAAAGTAAGTTCCAGGAACAACTGAGGTCACACTTTAGTAGTTCTGGAAACGAAACTGACCCACATGTTGCTTGGAATGATATACAAGCAGCTGTGGAAACACCAGTGACATCGATTAGTGATTTAAAACACGGGGTTACAAAAAACCAATGGATTCCTTCAAGGTCTATTGCACTGATGGATTCTCGTACTCAACCCATCAGGCTCTGAACGCGATGAAGAGCGTAAACAAATCAAATCTAGGCTAAGCAAAAGTCAAAGGAACGACCGTGAGTAGTGGTGGGCAACGAAAGCAAAAGAGATGGAAAAGGTGGAGGCTATAAGGAACACAAGACAGTACTACAGACTAATACAAGACACTGGAATGAATAAGTCAAGTGTAAGTGACAACATCTCGGAAAAAGACGACACTCACATCTGCTCCTAGTCCAGACGTTTAGAACGATGGGCCGAACATTTTAGAGAACAGTTCAGCTGGCCTTCAGCTAATCTACAACCACCCACTATTTCCAGACAACTCGAATAGAACATTGAAGTAGGTCACCCGACGCTAGCTGAAGTTCAGAAACCTATAGCTAGTCTGAAACGAGGAAGAGCAGCTGGTCCAGATATACTGGCTCCAGAGGTCTTTAAGAATGGTGGTCCAATTTTAGCGATTAGGTTGACTAATATTTTAACTAAAAGCTGCGAGTTGGACGTAATCCCATCTGACTGCTCACCATAACTGATTGTCCCAATATAAAAGAAAGCGTCAAAATCATCCTGTGATAATCATAGAGCGATTAGTTTAACTAATGTAATATCTAAAATACTAGCTTCGATAATTATCAGACGCCTAACTAAGACTCGTGAACTGCAAACACGAGAGACTCAAGTAGGCTTCAGACCTGGTCGTGGCTGCATCGACCACATATTCACCATTCGTCAGATTCCATAACACAGGCATACTTACCGGCGTCCGACAATCGTGGTGTTTCTTGACTTAAAAGTAGCATTTAATTCCGTAGACTGCGAGATTCTGTGGCACTGTCTGTCATGGAAAGGCGTACCTCAGAAGTACATAAACCTCGTGAAGGTTCTTTACTAGAACACTATTAGTCGAGTCAGAGCTTATGGCGAGCTGTCATCGGTCTTTGCAACCTCAAGTGGTGTCCGTCAAGGATGTCCACTTTCTCCATTTTTGTTTAACTTCATTATAGACCTACGTTCTCGTTGACTGAATTTTTGGGCATTGATCTCCTTCCAGAGGGTCCACTTATCGACTTAGAATACGCAGACGACATAGTCCTATTGGGTGGAGTAGCTGATGAAATACAGAGTCTTTTGGTAGCACTGAGCGACAATGCCAGAATGTTTGGAATGCGCTTCTCTCCCTCTAAATGCAAGTTGTTGCTTTAAGACTGGTCTGCGTCAACACCTGAACTAAGCATAGGAAGTGAAGTAGTCGAACGCATTGACCACTTCACTTATCTTGGAAGACTGATCAGCTTTAATAGGTTGGTGTCTGACGAAAGCTTTGCATGGATTCAGAAAACTCGTTTGACTTTTTCCAACTTACGTCACCTATGGGATATCGGTCTGTCAAATAAAAGACGAGTATACTGTGCGGCAGTCCTGTTCTATATTACGGATGCGAAACGTGGCCATTGAGAGTTGAAAATACTCGTAAGCTACAAGTATTTGACCACAGATACCTTATAAATATTGCTTTCATCTGCTGTGATCACCAGGTAAGTAATAGTGGGTTAGACTCAGGGTATTAGGGAATGATGGTAAATCAGTTGATGAGGTTGTGAATCTTCATCGACTGAGATGGTTGGATCTTGTGTTGCGTATGCCTGAACACCGATTACCACGACGCGCAATGCTAACCGGTTTTGGAGATGGTTGAAAGAAAGTTAGGGGCGGCCAAACCAAAACGTGGCATCAGTGCTTGAAGTCACTAACTTCGAGCCATGATGACAGATACAGACTACATGGCTGAGAATCGATCACAATGGCGTCGGTGTATACACTCTCTGTCTTCCCTTAAACTAAGAGATCAAAATTCGCTTCATATCTTTCTTTCTACGAACTAATTCTTTCTTCCTGTACTATATCCTTATATGCAATCTTTCTTTTATATATTACCACCATTGAATTAACTACTTATATGAATCCGGTGTTCATCATGCTGTGTTAATCCCGTATTGCAACTTGGACCGATGCATATATGTGCCTAGTCCTACGTTGTAGCTGACTGACTGACTGAATTAAGAGCCTTCCTCATAAGGTTACCTTCCATTTATGATTTCTCTATGTTTGAAATTATTTCATAGTAAGAGCGAACCTATTGTCGCTTACTTACTAACATCCACTGAAACAATACAACTGCAGGTTAGATGAAATCAGCCAACCATTGATCACAGTATAGTGCATTAAACTCAAAATAATAAAAAAAGGTGAAGGAACAACTTTGAAAACTGCTTTTTGTTTTTTTTCTTTCACTTACACCATGAGGCCACTTCGCTAACATCTTATCATTCCATTCACCTTCAACAATAAGAAATGCCTTCTTATCATTAGGTCCAAAAACCTCAGCACGTAAAGTATCACGTTTACCACCATAAAAAGGTTTTGTTCGAAACTCGATATTAGCTATATATCCAGTTTTTAAGCATGTGATGCTAGTTTTCCCACCCAATTCAATCCATGGAACAGTGAGAATGTTTCTGTGATAAAATGTAAACGAGCATAACAATATACACGATTATTCGTGCACAAATGTGAAAATAAATAAGAATTAAAAACAGGAATGTTAAACTTAAAACATGAAAACTATCCTTTATAACTAGTATTAAAATAAAACAGGTAACAATTGGTTGGAATAGTAGTTGAAATAGGAAATGACTTACTATTTGCTAATTGATGAGATGTATGACAAGACTCCATAACAAGTATATTTGAGGGGAAAATAAGTGCATTCTTCAACAACAACTTTAAATAGACCAGATCTATACATATACGTTTTTATTTAATCGTCGGAATTTAATTATCATCAGTTTTATCATGAGCTTCGTAAGCTGATAAATAATTTTTAGTCTTGATTGCATATCTCATACTTAGATTATTATTACTAAACAAGTCAACCAACCAGCAAATTTTTTTGTATTTCACTGAGTTTTATAAACCAATTATCTACTCTGAAAGGTTCAGTTTACAATTTATTATTAGGTAGCTTTGATAAAACTAAATATTTTAACTCCTTTACAAAAACTATTTCAAAGAGTAATCCAGCAAAAATTAACTGTTACTATGACTACTGTAAAGTTACTTGGATCTGTGCACATATGTGCCAGGTCTTAAATTATTTATGACTAGCTAGTTTAAAACTATAACAAAAAGTGAAAGACTTGTCCTTTGAAAAGAGATGAAAATGAAGAACTGTATATATAATACAGAGAAACGGTACTAAAGCAAGTATTTACTTTGATCTATCTACGTACAATAGGAGCTTGTATCACATGATTTGTTTACTAAATTCATTCAATCAATCATATAACCTAATTAAAGGAAATTTCGTGCTAACATTTCAAAATAAAACAAATTGTGTTCTATATTTAGAAAATCATACGATACTTAGCTTCCGGACTTTAGTTTCATGGACTGACACACCAAAGAAAAAAGTTAGATCAGAAATATACGGGATATTTATAGTGGATGCTAATGATTTCTAACTGCGCTTTAACAGTCCGTTGTTAGCTGCTAAAGATACACTTTAAATTAGCTAAACAACATTATTTTACTCGATTCTATATTATAAAAAACCCATTAATTCACAAGTTTTCGATAGGATTACGTATTCTGAAATGAAATTAATCATTTCTTTTCAGACAAGCAGCAAGTAAAACAAAAAAGCAACCCAAAAATGGATTGATTAACCCAATCCACACTATAATGTAAATAATCACTCAGAAATGTATACCAACCTGCCATATCCACATGGAAACGTAACCACATATTCTTCATCATGATTTAGTAATGATATGACAGCTGAACCAACCATTTCTACAGCTATACTTAGACCAAGAAATTTTGATTTAGTCCACAAGTGTCCATCTACAGCTATTTGATTATTAACATGTTCAGCATAAAAGGCGGATATAGGAGGATGGTGTGAGACCTAATGGCAGAAATATTTAAAAAAATAAACATTTTAGAAATACGATCATATCACATGTTTGATGATCAGTATCGCTGATAAAAATGAAATATGTATTGAACATGCTTACAGGATACTAGGATTTCAATAAATTTCATATTAACGATATGTTTATTCACATAACATGTACAAGACACATAATATTGTGACTGATTCATGAACGATCTAGTAACGACGCTATAAGCTTCCACATAAACCACTACAACAACTAACTGGTAGTTATAACTTATAAAATCTGTAGAATTTAACATTCTGAATATGAAAAATAAGTACCCTATGTTGAAGGTGAAGGTGTATGTAGTATATGCCCTTTTATTTCCTCAATGCAACAAATACATATTTTGGTTTGTCTACAGTGACTGGTCTCATATAACTGAAAACTGAGTTAACGCTTTCGTAAACCTTTGTTTAGTGAATAAAATTTACTTCTATTTGTAAAAACCAAACCACTGAATAGAAACGTTTTCAGCCCGAACAACGACTACTAGCTATTTTTGTTTGTATCGGTACTAATTAAAGCTTCAAAACTGGATAAATGAAAGGAAAAGATGCATTGATATGATGAAAGTACAGCAAAATCACAAATGGAAAAAAGTTTGATATACCTCACATTATGAAAAAAACCCGTATAATTCATGATAATCAGGAAAGTATGATCTCTAGAAATCCGGTAGATTTTATCACATAATAGAGAGAATTAAAAAAACACATATGAAGACAACTCAAATCTCTATGTCTATTTAGTAAAGCTTTAGACAACAATAGAATCCACAACAGAAGATATGACGACAGTAGAGACCTACCTGTTCTGCTAAGAAGACTACGGAATTGTGAGGCGCCCAAGGAACAGGACCAGAATTATATAATTTTTCCTGTGGTTTTTCTGATGCATTTGTCGAATCATCTCCACTCTCTGTAGATAAAGGCCAATAACAGCGAAATATTTCACCTAATGTAGGATTGTAAGGTTTCTTAGCAACTGACGATCGTCTGCCAGCATGGAATGCAGACAAATACCACCGAAGACAAGCAACCATACGATCACGAGGCGTTGATGCATTAGGAATAACAGCCCATAAATCAGCATGTGCTAAAAAGTCTGCATACATTTCCAGTGTAGAACGACGTTCGAGAATGAATGTGGGCAAAGTGATTCTAGTTAAATCCATTCCGATCCGAAGCTGAGAAAGAAGATGTGTTATCACAGAACCGTGAGATTGCACAGAACCTACTTAATAAACAACAAAATACAGAAGTGAGAATAAGTAAACTTAAGAAATACTGGTTGTTTAAAATTCTGACAAAATCTACAAAAGTACTCATAGTTTAACAAAGAAAATAGATTCCTTAGAAATATACTTCTCACTGTGATAGAAAATAGGCGATCCTAATAACAAGTGTGAAGCATGAAGGCCGTGCTCTTTAATAGAACTAAGAAAGAGACCACATGTCGAACAATAAGCTTAATTAACTACATCATAACCAGAAAACTATTATATGTAAAAATTATATTTCAACAATAAGTATTTCAGTATGAAGAACAAAAACAAAATTCATTTAATTATTAAATAAACCAATATCCCACTCAAACAATCAAATCCAAACACTAACAATCCAACTATAGTGATATTAAAGCCACTACTGAAGCATACAAAAAACAACTGACATAGCAGTCACATTAAAAACAATAACTTCCAATCAAATACCTGAATTCCGCAGCTAAAAGAAGAAATAGTACAAACCAGTACGTGCATATCAACCAAAATGACACATGACTACAACTGAACAGTAACGCAAGGAACCCTCCAACTTCTTGTATTCTGTAGCTAACAAGCAAAATAAGACTCCCAACCAAATAATACAATAGTCTCTCACAGCTTTCTACTTTAGAGATTAGGATTGATGCCAAACGCCCAGTGGGGAGAACTACGTTTATAAATCGTCAACTGAAATTGATAAATATCAAGTAGTTTATCTTATAATTTATACTCCAGAAGATATATTAAAAAAATTGGTTGACACGAAATCAAATATCGTGACGTAAAAGACTTGTATTTATGGCTAGATTATAAACATTTTAGGTTTGAATCTTCAAGTATGAATTTAAGTAACAACGAATCACAGCAAGTCTAATTTTTTTTGGTGGAGTTTTGTTCTCAGGACCCTCCTGAATATTAGTAAAATCTTCTTTATGAGTGTAAAACAAGCATCAATAAATTAACATTACATATCAGTACTAACTGTAATTACAACTAAAGATATAAACCAACCCTCTAAATTATGAAGGAGATAAGTAAATGATATAACATACAATTAAATTATGATAGTTAAATATACACATAAAAACATAAACAACAGCATTTCGCAGGAATAATCATGATTTAATTTACTTACACTCTTCTTCCTTTTCATCATCATACAATTCGTCGAATGTATCATCCAAAGACGAATTCGTCTGATTATTTGATGATGACTGACTTGAACGATAACGACCAGATTTCGTTATAGGCACAGTTGGATTTGAATGCATGCTTAGAATTGTATTACTAAAAGAGAAAAGTGAGGTGTTTAAATGAAGGAATGGAGAGAAAAGGTACATGGAAACATTGTAGTCTGTGTGAATGCATAACAATAAAAAAGCCTATATAGTAGCAACCATGTAATTTGAGTTTAAGATATTCGACTGCCAAAACTGCTAACGGACCATTTCATTTTATTTGAACAACAAACTAATGTTACTATTATTGATAAAAAATCTGAGGCCCAAAGACAAGAACATGAACTACTTGGTTGTCGAGTTGCATGATAGGAATTTATAAAACCGCGTGATTATTCATAATAATGAAACTACTACTATTTATACTATACAACAATAAGCTTATATATGTCTAGCAGCATCTTGAATACAATCGTAAGGCAATGACTTTGATTATTTTAGGTAGATAAATTATCTGAGACGATTTTCAAATGGAATTGTATTAATATGAGCAATATCAAACATACCAGTAGCACACATCTACAAAAAGTAGTCACAGTAATTTTGTATCAACGTAATCAAACTATTAAATATATATTAAGAAAAAATCGAAAATAATATGGAATAAGACATTACTCAGTTGAAGAACACAAATTCTGTTCGTACAGAAATCTCGCAGGTACACTGGCATTAGTACAATATGTTATGCTCGTGCGTGAACGTACATACACGCGAGTACAAACGTCTATAAGCACCTCGAGAAAATGTTGAGTTGTAGTACGTAAAATAATTGAAAACTCATCGTTATATATAGTATCGTCTTGTATCTAAATCGATAACTAATGTAATATCATTCATGAAAATATTTTAGTCATTAAATTTTGTGAGTCCATATCTTTATTCCTAAAAAAAGACAGCATTTCATTGTTGTCAGTAATTACGAAACAATTAACAACAGCATTGTTGCGATTATATCCAATCATCAGCAAACAAGAAGAAATAGAATGTGAAGGTCATACTCAAATGATCTTTTGGCAATCAGAATAAGTTTTAACTTTTAATACGAGATTAATTAACACTTCAATTTATACTACCTACGATAGTGTTTACTCTATTAAAAGGTTGGGTTTGATTATTAAAGAACTTCAATGTTGACTAGTTAGTGATAATTTGAAATCCGGTGAGAGAACTTGTGACACACACACAAGTTAGCGAGTAAGAAAAAATCAAGATCCTAATACGTAACCCAGTAAAGTCTTTTACATAATACAATAACTGGTCCTACTGAAAACCTATCTAAAACGAATGGTGATAAATCATGTTACCCCAGAAAAATGTAAACATGGCGTCAGCTGTTTACAAATATATACAAAGTTGAATGAGGTTTCCATCAGCCACTTATCCACAACGCACAACCTGGTACATATATGCATCGTGTCAATTTGCCGCACCACATCAGTATGTCGAGAAGCCAAATTAGTAGGAGTAGTAGCAATGCTAATGGTATTAGGAACTATGCATGGAAAATATGATTCAAGGATCACTGGATTTGTAGAACAAAAAGTAAAATAAATAATAATTTAAGGTATTTCAGAAACATACTGTTCAAATGAAGATAGAGTGAATGAGTCTTTATTATTTATGACTGATTCTCAGCCATGTCACACCCAAAGTCTTCTAGCAATGATTACGATAAACGCGCGGACCCCGATAAAATGGTCTGAGCTTATTTGCAAGGCTCCGTCAATGAATGCATGGACTAATATCACGCTTTGAGTTCGGCAGTCCCTAGCAACCTACCGCCATATAGTACATCGAGGCAAACAGTAGTTGGACATGCATAATACATGTCTCAACTACCGCAATCGATCAAGTCAAGATATGCAACCTAATCAATAGATTTTCATAAGGCATTAGTCATTAATAATTAAATAAATAAATATACTTTTATTATTTCGATAGAATACAATAATTCTATTATGATCACAACTTCATTTCATTCTTCAACAGACGCACATGACGACGAAATTTGGTGGGACCTTTGAACCAATAGAAACTTCTTTGCGAGTTAGCGTTCGTTACGATTCAATACATTTAATATTTACTTCAGGCAGTAAATTAAAAAAGTTGGGATATTTTAACTTCCAACTCTTTAATAAATAAGAACTGACATAGTAGTTAGATTCAAATCATACCCATTCACTGATGAAGTCTTCAGTGTCCAAACTGGAAAAGCCGGAGTTCAACACACAGAATCTCTAATTACTATAAATCTCATGCTAAATTTTATCAATTAGTTTCACTATTTTGAGATAAAGATATGTACATCATAAACCTAAAAGGAACTGAAATTAAAGCTAACGGAATATTGTGAAATTATCCGTATTTGAAAGTATTACATACTATCAACGTGAGTAGCAACAAACACATAAAACTACTATGTTAGGACCTAGCTAATTAGACCAATTCATAGAAAAAAATAACCACAGAGTTCGGATGAATTATTACATACTCCTTGACAGGTTGTGGAGAATTTGTTATTGCGCAGTTGACAGAAATATCTTCTTGAGTATCAAAGAATTCTTCATCCTCTTCTTCTTGATCCAATTGAGCCTGATCATCATCTGAAGAAGAATAAGACCTAACTGGCATTCTTGGGATGGACAATGGTGGATAATTAGAAGAGGGTGAATCTAATGCATCAAAGCATCTTTTCACAATCACAGTATCATTAGGGAGTGATGAAGAAATAGTAGCTAGCTGCTCAGGATGTGAACGTATTGAATGGGATTCGATGGATGATTCTGTAGTAGAAGATGGCCGCTTGTGTAATTTGCTTTTTTCCAAACGTCGAGAATTACGAGTAGAATGTTTTCTGGAAGGTTTCTGTGTTATAATAGGGGAAGCATTAGATAAGGACTCTTGACAAGAAGTGAATGGATTTTCACCATCACCTTCACCACTTTGAAGGTTCATAAATGCATGATTTATCTCATGTACTTTTAAATCATAATCTGAAAGAGAAGTAAAAATAACAATGATAAAAAATACATATGAGTTATTCAGACTATGACTACAATAATAATGGACAATTAGTAAACAAAGTTGACTCTTTTAAAAATGTATCTACAACTGTACAAGTGAAATCAGAAGTTTAGAAATGCACTTCTGATGATTTGAAGCAATAATCAGCAAAATAGTTTGCCAAGACAGAAGGTAAGTACAAACATTACATTTTATTTAGTGACAAGGGTTGGAAGATCGAATTAAAGAATATAACAGTTCAAAGTCACGTGAAAGTGCTTTCGTCTATTTGTATAATCACAGGACATCTGCAACAAGCCTCGATCCTGAAAATAAAATATCATACACTAAAATTACACTACATGATATAAATAACTGACATTTATTAGGATAGAAAACACCACTGAATTAAATTCATAGCTATGTAAATAGCAGGACTGACTTAGAAAAAATTTGACGACGCAACTATATGACATTTTAATATAAGCATATTTCTGCTAAGATTTTAGACACTTTGGATGGAGACAATATTTGTTACTTCTTAAAGGTCAAAGGTTAACTAAATTGTAAGTAACTTCTTTGTAAATAATCTAGTTAGATACATTCGGTTCCCCTTTATGAATTTGAATAAAGCAAAATAATATGAATTTATTTTACTTTATGTCTCCCCTTCAGCTGCTTACGACCGTATTCGTATCAAAGTGTAACATTGAAATATTATAATACAATAAAAAGTAATAGAGATTGGTGACGGAAAGAATCGGAATAACAACGATTATCAGTAATAATTATATATATACCTTTATAATGAGATTAAGTCTTACAAATTTGATTAACATTGAGAAATTAAATTAAAGAGAATAAACACATATTCGACCTAATCTATGAATGGAATAAATAACACTTTAGAACAATGGGATATACCTTTCACTTTCAATGTAGAGAAAGCACTGTTCGATATAGACGTATCGAATTGTAAAGTTTGCGGAATGTCAACTGCATCAGAAACAATGTTGTCATTCAAAGTAATCGGTATACGATATGAACTATTGACTGAACCCTAAAGTGTATACAGAAAGATATATTTTCAAGATGAGAAAGATAATGTTTTGAGATTCAAATGCAAAAAATTCGTTTCCATATTAATCAAAATAAGTTGCTAAATCAAAAACTTAAAAGCATAAATAATAGTTAAAAGGAAAGTAAGTTTATCACAAATGTCACTTAATTCTATTTGATTTATATTAATGAATTATCGATATTTCATTAAAAATAAACAATATCCTTGTCATGTATCCTATTATATTAGTTCAACAAACCAATTAGCTGAACAAGGTAACTTCTGTATCAATCGCGCTAGCGATGAGTTTATTTTGTGACTATTTAGGATATACTGACAGCAATGTAGAAATCTAGAATTTACTCGGTGATTTGAAAAATAATGATAATAATAAAACATATATGGGAAAAATTAAGCGACCTAGGCATACAAAAAAGGTACCGAGCATGTAACTCATCTAATTTGAATGATGCAACCTTAAAAAGCATCGACCCTACAAAATCAAGTATGGACAAGTAATATTGTTTCATCAAAATATTTATCAAACAACAAGTACTGCAAAGATAGATTCAAAAACAATACAAAACAATTACTAAGTTAATAACATACTGTGAAAATGATAACAAAATCTACACCGATTTACAGCCATAATGAAGTTCATACAAAATTAGAGACAACACTGAAAAATAAGAATACATTATATGAACAGGGCTTTGATACTGCTCGGGCGCCCAGACCGAAGCAAGTGGTTTTCTTAGGGGGCCACACCCCCAGCCTTTGACCTAAAAGTCTAACCTACAAGGAAGTGAAGCATCGTTAGGAGATGCAGTCACATGGTAGCCGGTGATCAACCATCGGTTCTTACTCTATTTGTTCCCTCAACATACAGGAGCCTATGTGCATAATCGATTTGGGATCCGGTTAAACAGCTGGAAGCAGCAGCTGCATCTGGTAACTGCCGGAAGCTCTTCCAACTCATCTGAGTCACTAGAAGCAAAAAGTCTGGTGTGAACAAAACAATCTGTGAGGATGACGAGATGTCAATCACTAACACTCATCGACATCTTGGACGATGGGCTGAATTCTTCGAAGGGCAGTTCAACTGGTCTGCTGCTCCGGCAACGTCGGTCGGATTGTCCTGCTCTCCATAGCCTGTGACGACTGATCCACCAAATGAAGCGGAAGTCCGCAAGGAACTCCAACTCTTGAAGCGCTACAAATCACCGGGGCCCAGATGACTTATCTCCGGCTCTTTTTAAAGATGGTGGTGACTTTCTGACTAAGGAACTGACAACGTTGTTTACAAAGGTCTGGGAGCTAGAGAGTGTACCAACGTCATGGGATGAGTAGATAGTTTACCGTATCTTATTCAGTTGGCAATCATTGTCCGTAGGTACGGTATGTACTTTGCACATTCTAGACTTGCAGTACCCTGATCCTGTACTCACCCTGGATGGTGAGCAGATAGAAGTAGTCGAGAAGTTCGTGTATCTAGTTAACTGGGAGTGTGAGTGATGAGATCAATGCACGTATAGTGAAGGCCAGAGAGGCTTATGCCGATCCGGGCCATCTTTGGTGCCTTCGTGATGTTAGTCTGGCTGTAAAAGGTCGGATCTACAACGCGTCGGTGAGAGCAGTTTTGCTCTATGCTTGTGAAACCTGGTCTCTCCGAGTTGAGGACGTTAGACGACTCTTTGTGTTCGATCATCGCTGTCTCCAAAGGATTGCTGACATCCAGTGGCAACACCATGTCAGTAATGCAGAAGTTCGGCATCGTGTGTTCGGGCACAGAGATGATAATGCAATCGATGTCACCATCTTGAAACACCGACTTCAGTGGCTTGGACATGTTCTCCGAATGTCGTCCCAGAGAATTCCACGTCGTGCATTATTTGCCAACTCTGGGACTGGTTGGAAGATGCGGAGAAGTGGTCAGTGTATGACATGGTGTCGTGGTATGAAAGAAAGCTGCAAAGAGATGGCTTCTGTTAGTCCTTCACTACTTCCTGGCTGGGGTCCGAGAGATGGTGCAACACAGTGGCTAGAGACGTTATCAGATATGGCTCAGAATAGAACCCAGTGGCGATCCTGCTGTGACTTTCCTTCACTTTCTTCTTAAAAAGTGGTTGTATCTTCCTTAACTGAAAGATTTCTTCGGATTGTACAATCGGAACTAATTTGTTCATAACCTATAACACAAAAGTTAATTTAATGGGGCGGGAGAAGATATTAGTTTGTTTCAAGAAAAAAAATTAGTATAGCGCACAACAAAGAGTTTTTTAGCATATTACAGTACAACTACTAATAATAAGTTAAATATTATAATCAAAGGATTCTTTCCTATTTACACTATCAAATAAGTATTCATGTCCTAAACTGAGATGTTAGAAAAGTGATTAATATCATAATCCATACAGATTTCGTGGGGCGAAAATAAAATGGATTATGATTTGTTATGAAAAAATAGTGAGACAACGACACCTATTATATATTACAGTGCAGAAAGCTTTCGGACTGTGACAAGTGAAAATATCGTGATTAAAATACTTGAAAGATGAATTCACTTAAACAATAATCTAAATTGTGACTTGACCATTGAATGTTAAAACAGGGTTTTCCTAATTAAAACTTTTACAAAACAATAATCTCGGCAAGGGAAATACTATGAATAATCCATACAATGGGTAAAGTTAAACGAAAAGAAAACCGTCAAGTAACGAAACTACGTGTAACAAATAGTTCCAGAAAAAATGTAAACAAAGAATACAATGAACATCTAAGCTGTGAATTGAAGCCATCATGTATTCTTACATGCAATTAGCTACATTAATCAAGTAAATGAGATATATGCCTATGATGAGTGGCAAACCAAACAATTATTTCCAGGAATTAATAAGGTATTACAAAAAATCTTTTAAAAGACTAAAATGCACCAGAATAAATAACCAGTTACACATTTGTACACTTAACTATTGCATATATTACATTCAGTCAATGACTTTTCAATACTATGAAGTCTTAGTTTGTAGAATCGAAACTAACGTAGGAATGAAAAATAACTTTTCATGTATTGTACATGAATGATAGAAAAAAGATAATACTGGAGATTTAATTCAGTCATTTGAAAACAACTTAAATCCGGAAGTTCGCGAATAAGAACAGATCTATTAGATCGACCCTAAGAATACACAGATATACCATCATTACGCAATAATCACTATTTCTAAATAATAATTAAACGGTGACAAAAATATACTAGTTACAGAAAAATAACGGACGAAATACAGAGTATCACTATAGACGTAGAAGCAAAATAAATCTTCAGCATTAATCAAATGACCTTTCTATTAGGTATGGATTGAATATATAACCACGATACAACCCTAATAGATTGTACACCAACCAACAATTAACTCCAAATACTAACCGATACAATTATTTACTGTGACCACTTATGGTAAAATAGGATCCTGTTAACAGAAGTATACGAAATGTCCTCCTTATTGCGTCACCCTGATAAGTTCAAAACAAAAACATAAAACAAAGATAAGAGCATCACTGAAACCATGAGTAGAGTACACGTATTTAAATACTATATATATATATATATATATATTCCATAAATATGGGGAAAACATTTACTGAAACTTAGCGTAATAAATATGAAGTAATAGTAGAATAAACATTCAGATGAACATTAGGTGTAATGAGAAGTAAATTATATACTCTATATATCTTTTCTACATAAAAAATGTTCACCGTTGATTTGTTTACATTCTGTTAAGCTAATATTTGCTGTTATGGACTGACATAATTAATAGAAAAGAAATTAGACTAAAAACTAAACAGCATAAGAATATATATATATATATATATATATATATATATATATATAGACAGTGCAAATTTCCTTATACAACCAGCTATTGATGGCTTTCATAGACTAGTGTCATTTAGATATTGGTGCAGTGCTCAAGCAAAGATATTTTTCAACGTACATATATTTAAGTAAATATTCTAAGCCAAAATAGGTGACAGCATTGTATAAGTAAACAAAGATCGAAAATTACTTAATAGTCACAAATGAACTGGAACAACTGGCTAGACGCTTAAAGTTTGAATAAAAAACTGGAAGTAGTTAGTTTTTTTTTAAATCTCTGCGAAACCTGTTACAAGGTACATTTATACTAAACAACGAAATCTATTCACAAATATTAAATACTGAATCAAACTGTCATCAACTATGTACACGTAAGCAAACGGTTCACCAGTAAGTACAAGAATAGATTTTTAATAAACGTAAAACATTTAAATAAAACTGCAAAGGGAAGCTGTAGACATGAAAAGGATGAATAGCAATTGGAAAGGACTGCCCAGGACTAGGTTGGATGGAGAGAGTTGGTGGGTAGCCTATGCTCCTCCATAAGAGGTAACAGGGGCAATTAAGTAAGTGAAAGGAAGTTGCATGATTCTTGAACAGTTGAAATATAACCATATTAATGCTGCAACCAACCCCTTCTGAGAGTTCGGTGAACATTTATCGAAAACATAACAAATATGGTTACTAGTTTTAGCCATTTATATTTAACTAACAAACTATAGAGATAAGCTAAATATGAGGCAAAACAACATCGCACACAGTATACATATATTAACAACAGAACTAGACGCGTTATATAAAGAATTAAGACACGTTATAAAACACACCGAATAGTAATTAATAAAGCAGGCACAACGGAGAAACGTAAGTATACTAAAGTAAATTATAAGAAATATGAGTGAACCACACTATAATCAGACCACAGAATGTTAGTAATTCTCAGAGATGAAGCTAAATACATGAGACGCTAGATCACAACCCAGGATATCAAAATTGATGTATTTGGTAAAATCGGTAAGAACATAAAAAACTGTACGCAAAAACACCGAAGTATTTAAATGATAACTAGTTTAGCAAAATATTGTGGACTGTGCTACTGATGTCGATAGATATAAATAGTATGAATCATCAATCGAAAGTGAAGTGCCTGGGAGCAGAAGGTTAGAAAGATCGAAGAAAAGAGAACGAGAATAGTAAATGTTTGTTGTGGAAATGAAGAAACAGTGAAGTCTGAGACGATTGATTGACATTTTGCAAAGGGAACAGTTAAGCTTGAGATAATTGATTGACGTTTTGCAAATTAACTATTTACTGTATGGCTCTTAGATTTTATCAAGATATCCTGTAATTTTGTATTCAAATACATCTGGTTGAACCTACTTGTGTTCTAGTTCACCACAATATAATAAAACAATCTTTAACAAATAACTTTATCAACATAACACTGTCAATATTTTCTTATGCAATTAGTGTAAATTTTATGCTATTAGTTAACAAATATGAGATATTTTTAGGTCCCAATACAAAAGTGGTCGTACGCTAACAATTTCAGATATCGCCTCAAATCGCCAAAACCTTAGAATAGAAAAGGTAGGGAATATTATAGAAAAGCCATTAGTCAAATGAAAACAACTTTCTCAATAAATAAGTGGTGTATATCACACAACTAAAAAACACCCATCAATTGTAATACTAAAATAAAACTGATTTGTGAGATTATTAATTATAATCAAAATTATTGAATTATTCTTAGGAAATGAGGCAATAGCAGACAGTCACGATTGTGCCATACCTCAAATCAGCACAGCGACAAAGCAAGAAAACAAGACAGGGAAAGGAGAGTACTTAAGTTCAACTCCAACGAATGCTGAAACATGAGGGAAACTGTTAAAAGAAATAAGATTGAAGAGTGAAGAATCAGGAAACAAATTTAACACAAAACTTAGACGAATAGAGATGAGTGTAACTGCATCACTGTGACTGGTTTTGTGCCATGTCGCCAAAAATCCCCGACGAATGAATCAGATTATTGAGTGGACGCTAACCAAAACAGTGCAGATCAAGATAGGCGGCAGTAACACACGTAAAACATGCTCTAATCATTCCAATAGATTAAAATTTATAGACTCATTATTGAACTTGGAAATTTATGATCCAGAATGTGAACTCTGTACATATTTTCTACTTTTCTAGACTACATTTTATAGTCATACACTGAAACAAGGCGGAGTGTTTTATAGTATATTCAGAGTTTGGTTGGCAAGCTGACGTCTCTTCCGTAACACAGATAGTGAAAGAAAGCAAGAGCTATGGGAGCCTTCTATACAACTTCAGAGATTTTGTCAGATAGTAACCTAACGACTTTGATGAAAATCCCAAGATAAGTGAAGTGATTATCACGCTCATTTCCTATGGTAAAACCAGCAATGATGCAGATCAAACAGAAAGTAACATATCATGTTGATAAGGAGATATAAATATCTTGTCAGCCTCGTACATAAACCAAATCCAAGGATTCTAATAATCGAAGAGACATAGAAACGAGAATGTAGACCGTCAGTAAATTTGAAGCCAACACAAAATATTGCTCAGTCACGATTGATATTAGTATGTTTCGGAAACGGATTTCAATTCATATTAATTTATGGGCTATTATCATTAATATTCAACTTACTCTGGCAAACTGGAGGCATACAATTGTCTTTTTCACCAGTTCGATAAGCCTCTGTAAAGATTGAAAAATGAAAACAAAACACCGGTAACATGATCAATGAGACAGTTTATTACAAAATATGTAAGTAATAAGTGATGAAAGGAGAAAGGCAGGGAGGAAAGGTAGGAAGGTAAAACATTAGTCATTTCAATTTAGTATACTGATACACACACCAGATGAAGACAAAGTGTTAAGCTTGCTCTTCTAAAATACTTATTTAAACTTTCACAGTATCAGTGCTACAATGATTATTTTGATTCCTTTACTATTTATTGTATTTATTTTATTTCATCATTTTGATGTGGCATGGCAGTGAGGGCGGTTATCACTTCCCGGTTGTCCACACCGTGGAAGGGTTCTTCTGGAGGTACCTGAAAAGGAAATTGGATTAGAAGTGGTCTCAGTGACCTGAGAGCGTAAAAACAATGCCCAAGGGACAATTGCTTGAGGTCAGTCACACACGACCTTTTTATGGGTGATTTTAGTGTTAGCTCCGTACTTGTTGAGACCTTACCGCCGGAGACGGATATCCGTGGGATAAGGCGAGGTGTGCATTTTTAGGGTCTACCATTTCTTACCCCACCCCTCCTTGTGGAAAGACAGCGTCGCTGTTATGCTGGTCATCTGAGGGAAACATCTTACTGTCGTCACACCTCTGCACAGTCAGCAGTACGACTTCGCCTTCGGACCTTGGGTTTGCTGCTTTTAGTCTTACCGTTCTTCAACAGACCTGTCTGGCATGGTAGGACCTTGATGAACGATTGTTCCAGCCAGTATAACCTATCTGGTTCATCACGATAAGCAAGCACGACCACCACGTCAAGATAGCAGCAACGGTCGGGCCATTAAATCTAACGTAAAATTGTCCCAGGTTCTACAACGATAATGACTAAATGACTTTTGAAACAGTTTAATCTGAAAGTGTTGAAATATCGGATAAAGAATACAAAAAGCAGCATGTCAGTCAAGTCATTAACCAATCCATGGACATATTTTGACAGACTTGATATACTATCCAATGAAAATAGTAATGATCAAACACGAGGCCAGAGAATAATACAAGAGTATAGACAATAAACATATATGTGCAAATATTGACAGCATAATTAGTATAAACAACTTAACGCATTTTAAGTGAACAGGAGAAACTGTTAGCTAGGTATGGAAAAGCTAGTAAATCAATTATCTTTCCAAGTTCATGGTGACGATGCTATGTATCAACATAAAGAAAACCAACACAAATGGAAGAGCCAACTAAGAGAACAAAGGGCCAATAATATGAAACATAATAGTCATATAACATAACTAATTAGGAATTACTATTTAAATAACTGAAATAAAACACAGTTGATCAACAAAACTTCCATTAATTGAGTAATCTATACTTTAATTTCCTCAATTCAAAACAGTAATGATGTTTTGTGTTACGATAAGAATTTTCCTAATCGTCGCATGAATCTTATTTGAAATTAGCATATGCGATTTCCTAAAACCATTCACTGATGAAAATCTAAAGAAATAAATAATCTTAAGTAAGAAACAAGGTAATCATGACTGTGCAGTATTATTACTAGTCCTAAGCAAATGAAAGTGGAGTACAAAAAATGAACATGTCTATGCCTAACATAAATGTGTACCTTTTTTAGTATTACTTTTTCTTTCTGCCAAATAATATGGCATCAAACAGAGTTATTCTGATTGACAACCATGATGGGTAAAACATTATAACCCAACAGGTACAGTTTAAATCCTTAAAGATAATACGATAGAAACCAACAGACACCTTCGAATATGGCAGTTAAAATACATGTTAATTAAAAATATCAGTCAGCAAATTCATGATTCTTTCCAACCAATAGGCTAAACAGTCAATTAATATAAGTTATTACCAACTATTTATTGTAAAATAAATAGGGGTTTCCTCTACCTGACTACTAATATTACAATTGAAGCAAACATTTTGCGACGAATTACATGTCAAAAGCTGACCAAATAGCTTGTGGTAATGTTTCGGGCTTGGGAATTTTGAGAGGTCAGTATGAATACGACGAGTAGCCATAACCACAAGGTCGCAGGTAGATCTTGATGAATTATGCCAACCCTAGGACTACGTCCAGGGTTTTCTGTTGACTAGTTCCGACCACCCATTTTGTCGGAATATCAAAAAATTCGAACTGTATACCATAAATGCATAAGTATGTGTTTGTCATGAGCATAAACGAAAATTTGCGACACGAAAGATCGATGGACAGAAAATCGATTTGCCTTTAGTGTCTACTAGTCAATCAATTGAAAACTCAGATAATAAAAAAACATAAACATTATCAAAAGATCACTATAATGAGGTGTAAAATAGAAACATGATTATTACGAGTTCACATAAAACCCAAGGAACATTGAACAGGACATAGATTAATATTAAACATTTTATGAGTCTAATAAAAACTTTCTTAACTGCCTGAGTACAGTGATAAAGTAAGTCAATAAGGGTTGAGAAGTACCTGATATCATATAAGAAATGTTAATGAGATATTATGCAAGGGATGGATGATTTTGTTTGCTGATTAAAAAGGTGAGTTGAAAAAGAACTGTAACATTAAAAAACACTGAAAATGAGTTAAAAACAAAAATTCTTGGAAATAATCTTTCGAGGTACACTGTTTATCATGAAGAGTTACTAAACAGACAAAAATTATCAATACCAAAGTAAACACAAAATATCATTGCGACAGAAAACGGTCAATCAAACAAGTGGATTTACATCACATGATCAGTTATCAAAATTATTTATTTATTTTTAAAGGAAAAACCCGTAATATATTCACTAAGTTGTTGTTTAACAGTTTGAAAGTGATTCTCCTTGGTAATGATCAAATTTCTCCTTTAGAAATTTTGCATGTGACCCCTTATAAAACCCAGTATAAGGTATTGTGTATACAATTCGAAACTTCATTACTACACACAAAACAGTAGCTAACTCAATCCATCTGAGAAATAAACAATGCGAAATAAATACAGATTTGTAAAGTTCAGTGATTTATCACCATCCAACTGTAATCTCAATAAAATACTGCTGCATCTATGCGCCTAGAAAATCACATAATTCAAATATGAGTAGTTAAAAACGTCTTAAGAAATATATATATCCTTGGGTTGACTGCCTTTTCTGTAAGGTATATCAAAGAAAACTATCCATAGGATAATAGCATACAAACCGACCGATAAAGTACAAGCCGTTCCAAACAGTTTGTGTATTTTGAAGAAATTTGAACAGTATGGTCCAAATATCTGAACGAGTTATGATACATTGTGGATTATCTTGAGTTTTAAATGCTAAAATACTTTTTGTTTGGTCGATCAAAGTTTAATTGATCATGAAGGAGAAAATGTAACGAATATAGGAAAGCAAACAAATTGTGTTAGTTCACTATTATATAAGATAGAAATTTAATGAATGATAACACAACCCACTGAATGCAAGGGGAAATGAAAGTTGGTTTTGAAACATCTGTATAAATCTTATTCTTAAAATGTCAATATTTATTTTAACTGTCAATGTAGAACTGGTATAAAAGCAGATGAACTATTCCATACATGGAAAGATGCATATTGCGTTACGATTTACTTTATCTGGAGCAAAAGTAGGATGGAAGAAACTATAAGGTAATTACACTGAAATATCGCATTTACGCTAATCTGAACTATGATCTTCATAGCTTTTAGACCAAAGCAATGTTATGGTATTTATAGCAGTTAGTACAGATGAACGTCTGAAGTTATAAAACAAACAGATGTATTTATCATCGTGTGATTAAACATAAACACACATTAATTTTAGACAATCATGTCTATTTTAAGGTTTCTCCAAATGAATTTCTAGGTCTAGGTCTAGGTCTAAGGTCATCCCTAGGCAATACTACCAACCAATAAGATAGTGACATGATTAAAACTCAATGTGCATTTACCGTTTTACCTGCTCTTGTAGAGCTAGGTATATAGGTCGTTCGATGCGTATTTTACCCAAAAGAATTCAAGAACATTGTCCGGCGTGGCTAAAAAGAGGAGGCAACGGCTCAATAAGAAGTTTTATAATCGAACACCTTGTGAACACAGGTCACTCAACCAAGACAGACTCTGCCTTCAAAGTCATCTACAAGGTAAGTAGAAGCCTTCCTAAGACAATTAGACTGCATCTTCTTTGCATTGCCGAGGCAATAGCCATACATTTTGAAAAACCAGAATTATGTGTACAAAAGAGACTTCTACCATGGTCTTAATGTATTAAAAATTTTTTTTTCTATTTCTCCATACTCTTGTTCCCTTACAGCCACCTGCTTCACCTTCCATCTTCCCTTCAAATCTTCTACCCCCAAACGGTTTGTTTTTATTTCCACGATCATTCCGATCACATTTCATCTCTGTTTCAACATTTTATTTTATCATGCTGAGCCATCCTTTCCCATTGATAATTTCCCTATCTATCCTTTGATGAATACTTAAGCCATTACCAATCAAACGATTATTAAACTTCCCGTGTTTTGAAATAATTTTTAATACCTTTGTTAACTTAACCTCACTGTCACCATGTATAACAGAAGTTTATTATCAGTATTATTATCATCCTGTAAAAATAAGTATATATATTTGCGATTGCACAACTTTGAAAAAGTATTCGCCGAAAACAGAACTCTTCGCTGAACTAATCTTTCTTTCTTATATAAAAAAACATCAAAAAGATTGTCTACAACTTTTCCTTAGGCATTTCACTCATAGAAGTGGTAGAGAATATAACTAATGACTGGATACTTGTTGTCAGACACTATTTGCACGAAAAATAATATACACTCATCCTCACACGTCGTCGATCACAAGACATTTGGATTGCACAACTACCTAGTGATAAATAATGAAAAGTCTATTTAATTAACTCTTTATTTGACTACGATAGAAAAGTATTTCGCACTCCTTCATATACTTTTTAGGGAAAATTGTAAAGATATGTAATTATGCAC